TCCAGCATGAAACCCTCCCCAGGAAGGAAAAGTCCTCTGAGTGAGCTGTGTCTGGGGCGGGCAGCCTGGCGCTGACCCCTGTGTGGGCAGACGGTTGGGGGTGGGCGTCTCTGCAGCCCCCCAGGGCTCCAGGCTGACCCTGGGGGGGTTTATCCCAGCAGGTGTTTGCCGTGGCAGGAGGTGCGTGGGGGGACCGACAGACATCCCCAAGGGATAAATCCACCACTGCTGTGCCCTGCCCTGCGCTCTGCTCTGTCCTACCTGCAGAGAACAACGAGCAACAGGTTGTGGGGGTCCCCTGGCCCCCCCTGGCCCCTCCCTGAGAAGCGGCAGCAGATTAGCCCCGAGCCCCTCTGCACAGACAAAAGCTGCCACAAAGGGCATTAGGCTTCAGGATTGGATTACTGTGGGGCCACCTGTCATCCCCACTTTGTAAATATATCTCGCTCCGTGTCCGGTTTTCACACTGGACAAGTTTGCACTTTTAAAAAACTGCCCCATAAAATCCCCCGCCCTGTGCCTGTCCAAGCAGCAGCCTGGCTGCGTTTGTCTGAGCATCCCTTCTTATTCCAGGCTTCAGAGTGTGGGGCTGGGGATTAGGGCTGTTTGAATGAAGAGAGCCTTTATTACATTAGTCTAAGTGGTTAATAGGTAAAGTAGGCCAATCCATCTTTAGACTAAGCCTATCACTTCGCCTACGAAGGGCGCAGGCTCTGCCGAGGAGATATTCATTAAAGGAAAAGCTTTTCCTCTGTCCCTCTTGACATGTTAATAGCTCAGGGTTAGGGGCTCTGCTCTCTGCCTGTGCAGAATTCATGGCTGTGCAAAATTCATGGCTGTGCTCACACAGCAACTCCCTCCCCTCGCTGGGACCCCCGGCAGCTCTGCCCGAGTCAGCAGCACTGAGCCCCACCAGTGCTTTGCTGGCTGGGCTGGGTGGGGAATAAAAGATGCTTGGAAGCCTGTTCCTCATCCTCACTTCCCTCTTCCGTGCTCAGCAGCAGATGCCTCATCCCTTCCCAAGCAGGGAAGGAGGGAAAGGGTTCAGATGATGGGTTGAGGCAGTGCTTCGGTGCTGGGACTCTCTGCTGTGGGATGTTCTCAAGGCCAGGAGTATTCATGGGTTTGAAAGGATTAGGCAGTTCATAGTCACTATGAAATGGGATGATTTGGATGCAGATGCTGGCTCCAGAGGTCTTTGAACTGCAGGTTGCCAGAAGGCAGGAGGATAACAAGGCAGGAGGGATTGCTTGCCAAGCTTTTCATAACCATCTTTATTTTCCACTACGAGTTTCCACTACAGTCTCTTCATCCAGCCCTGTCCCGACTGGGGCTCAGCTGAGCTCCCTGTTTCCCACAGCCTGACTCCCTTTATCCTCTCCCTTTGCTCTCCCACGAGGACAGCAGTGGTGACTGCACCTCTGCCACCCTTTCCTGGCACCAAACAGTGCTGGCAAGAGCTGCCCAGGTCTCCACCGTGCCTGTGAAGCCTCCACGGGCGTGGAAGGCTCCCCAGCTGTCACGAGCTGTGCACACACCACTGAGCTGAACGTGGGTTTGTGCTGAACCCCACTCCCTTTGCCCAAGGAGCTGCAATCTGCCAGGGCATTGTGGCTTCTGGCCATTACAGCTCCTCTTTCCCCTCCCTAAGCAGCAGCTGTGGTTTAGTGTTCAGGTTTAGAGTGGTCCTTGCTGCCATGGAGCCCCAGGAGCAGATGTGTTTGGAGCTGGGATCTGGTCCTCCTGCCACCAACACTCATGTCCAGCATGGTGCAGCTGCACTGGGCCAAGCTGCCATTCTCCAGTTGTGGTTTGAATGGGAACAAGCACTTCTTGGTGACTTTTCCACCACTGTGGAGTTCAGAGCAGCCAAAGTACCAGTTCCTCCTGTCCCCGAGGCTCTGTTGTCTCTGGCTGCCAGCGTGACGGATGGAGCCTCTGTGGGAGCTTATGGAAACCATGGGAAAGCTCCTCACAACTGACATGCCCTTGCAATAAAGCTTTGCCTTCCTGGATGTGGTGCTGTCAGAGGTTCAAACCATGTCCGTGGGCCACAGTTTTTGGCTTCACTTGCAGCTGTCTCGCTTTCATGGAGCCACTTTTCAAATAAGGCAGCGTCTGAGACAATCTTGAGGATCTCAGTTTTGGGCTACGCCTGGCACCTGTGAGGGTACAATGAAGGGAGTGCAGGAACAAGGGCCTGAGGGCTGGGTTTGGTGGTTCCAGGTCTTCTTCTTGGGTTGAGAGCTCTGTTTCTACCTCTGCTCGTCTTAGTCTGTGCTGGCCAACCTGAGGGCAGCAGCAGCAGCAGCATCAATGTTCTTTGTCCTGCTTCTCCTGCTGCAATGGGTCACCAGCAAGATGTTCTGCAAACACCAAGGATTCAGATCCTCTCCCAGGATAACAATCTGATGGGTCTAGACCTGCACAGAGCTGTGTGCTTTCAAGCCACACTTGAGGTGTGGGTTCAGGAGATGATAGCCCTGCAAAGGGACTGACCCCAGGCCAGTGGATGCCTCTTAGGTAAAGAGTTTCTCCCTGCTTTCTTTCACATACACGGTGCATTCCTCTGTGTTTGTTGAAATACTAATTAGGAACCTGTGTTTCCCAACTGGATCAACTGACTTGGCACTGCATTCCCAGCAATTTCCACCCAGCCCTACCCAATGCCTTCCTTGTGAAAGGAAGGGAAAATAAGCCTTGCATCATTCCCAGGAGACTGATATATACTGACTGCAGTAGTCCTGGAGGAGAAGTCAGTGCCAAGGTGCAGGGCCCCATGCAACCAGCAATCTGATGGACCTGACCTGAAGCCAAAGGGCTTCAGTGCAGCACGGCCATCCCGAGGATGTCTTGGGAACCATTCTCTGCTCTGGGCATGTCCCAGGCCATTAAGGACTTCATGGTTTGAAACCAGCCTCTTAAATCAAGCTGGAAGGCATTTGGTGGCCAGTGCAGGATGTAGAACTCGGGTTTAATGTGGCCATAAAAGGAGACACCACTTAATGAGCAAATGTTGAAACCCACATCAGCCCACGACAGCTTTAGGAGTTGCTCTGAGCGTTATTGACTGGCTCAGCTCCGTGACGGCACCACGGGGTTGCAGAGTTGGCCAGAAAGGCAAAGGATTAGTCAGAGTTTTATTTTGGTTACTGTTTTTTTGGCACATCCTGACTTCCAGAAGCTCTCACGTCCCAGGTGTCTGGTAGACCAAGCGTGATTTTTATCTGCACGGGAAACTCCACCTGTGTGGACTTGAAATCCCGGCCCCCGGGGTTGCCACAACCCCTGGGCATGGCTGGAGGTTTCCTCAAGCTGACATCCTCTTCCTCCACAGTCCAGCTTGTCCAGCACCGCTTCTCCCAGTGTCCTGTGCAGGCCTGGCACAGGGACCATTCTCCCACCCTGTGGAGCAGGGGCTTTATGGGCAGCCCCCAAGCACAGCTCACCTGTGGGGTGGAGATGTAACCAGTAAACACATTGCACAAAGGCAATGGCAGGAGCTGATGAGGCAAAACAGCAGGTACACTCATGAGCTTACCAGGAGTTGCATAAGCAGCCACTGACCAGCTTTCGTGGGCATGGGATGATTTGTGATGCAATCAGACCTCTCGTTCCTGGTTTCCCTGGTTTTTTGGCCTCAGAACAGATTGGTCAGGTTTTTTTTCCCCTGGAGCTCTTAATCAGGGCAACCATTGGCCTTAGCACAAATTATCAGTGGGTTGTTTTTTTAATTGCAGGAGCCCTGGTGATCTTTGCTGTGGAAGCATAAAAGCAGTGAGGGAGGAGGTGGCCGTGGGGGAACAGCCTCTGCGAGGTGTTGTAAAGCTGAGGGAAGCTCAGCTTGGGGCTTGCAGATCACACGCTGGCTGGTTATTTCTCTGTGCTGGGTGGATGCTTTGAAAACTTAATCAAGTTTTATAGCTTTAATTTCGTGCCTGACTCCCCTCTTGCCTTTTCTTTTCAACTGTCTTGCAACCCAGAGCAAATGAGTCCCGTTGGGTTATAAAAGGAATGAATTGGCAAACGGTCTGAAATATTTCAGCTTGCCTAGTGAACGATAGGAAAAAATGACTCTCCCTGCTTTGTGCCACTTCCATCAGTTCTGCAAGCTCTCCAGTGTTTCCCCACATGGTTAATTAGGAAACAGCCAGGGAATAAGGTGGAATTGCTGAAAGCTTTAGGTTTCACAGGTGCTTTGTGAAGGTACATCCTGCCCATGAGCTGAGGTTGTGCTCTCCATGGTTGCATCCCATGTCCTGACCTGCTGTAGCCTTTGGGGCAGTGCTGGGGAGGGGTTGTCCTCGTTGGGTGCTGGACTGGGATGTGCTGAAGATGCCCCCAAGCAGCTCCTAATTCTCCTCTTAGTTCATGTGAGGGAAAAGGTCTGCACAGCCACAGGGAATGGGAAAGCAGTGGGTGAAGCTGGGTGCGAGAGGACACCTGTGGTTGGTGAGGTCCTGCAGCTGAGAAGCCTGGGACAAATTGCACCCTCTTGCCTGGCTTTGGAAAAGTTTTGCATTTGGGATGCTAGGGGAAAGCTAGGTGGATGAGCTCCAGTGAGCTCCTACTTTTCTGCTAAACCATCATCTTGTTCCTATGGGGAAATGAGCTTTAGGTTGGGGCTTGAGGGCTCTGTGGTGTTGGCATGAGCCAGAAAAGCCACCTGATGCAGCTCAGGACTCATCCTGACCAGTCTGGAGCTGGTGTGGTACATGTAGCCACGCTCCAGGTGCAGAGCAGCCCAGCTAATCCACTCATGGATAACTGGGAGATTACTCAGCTGGATTTCTAATACAGTGGCCTTTAATAATAATCCCCCCCTAATCCCTAAATCAATGGAAAATGGATTTGTCTGTACAAACCAAATGGCCTGTGAAGGCATGTTAGGCAGAAGCATTCTTGTGTGTATCTATGTGTGAACATATCTAGAAATGCATGTGGATGTTTTCTTCCTGTTCCCTGCCCTCCTGACCCATGTCCTGGTGTTTTGCTGGCAGGGACCTGATGCCCAGGACGCTGGAGGGGCAGATCACCATGGAGAAGACCCCCAGCTACTTCGTCACCAAGGAGGCCCCAGCCCGCATCTCCTCCATGTCCAAGGGCACGAAGCTCATCGTGGTGGTGCGGGACCCCGTGACCAGAGCCATCTCGGACTACACCCAGACGCTCTCCAAGAAGCCCGAC